TAGGTCCTGGAGCTGAGGCTGCAAGGGCCACATTGTAAGAACTTACCTTCGTATCCAAAAAAAACAGCCTCACTCTCTGACTTTGTCTTCCTCTGAGGTCACCAAGATTTGTCTTCAGTTGCTTGAAGGCAGTATCACATCCCTTAAAATGGCATATTTTGGCTATCAGGCCTCATGAATTCCCTAGACAGTTCAAAGGTAAATATGGCTGTTTCTCAGTCCCTAACCAGGCTTGCCCTGCACCTGTGGCATACTTAGCATTTCTAAGCAGTCCACTGATGCACTCTGACAACAGCTTTATGCTTCTTTTGTGGGTACTACAGATACCACACTGGGTAAATCTATTCTCTTCCTTTGTAAAATCACAGGATTTTGCTAACATTGTATGACAGCTAGTTAAATTTCCAAGACATAAAATGAAAGAAAAACAGATCCCCTCTCCTTTCCCTGTTTTGTTAAAGCTCCCACCCAGTGAAGCTTAAATCCAGTTGTAACACAGAGCTTGGTTCCAGCTGGCTCAAATTGATTGTGTGAGCCTGAACACTGCCAGGTGCATGGGGTGAGGTTTTACTAACACTAACCCATGACCCACACATGGCTTCCCCATGTCACCATGCCCAAACTTAGAGCTTGCAGAGTGGTCTTACAGTGTGTGCAGCAGTGCCTGGGAACAGCTGTGTCCTGCGAGTGTCATCGGCCCCTGGCAAGCTCACCCTGCTTAGGGCTGATTAACTATAGAGCCTCTGAGGTTAAACATTTGAGAGCAAGGATTCTTTTATCTGATGTCGCTGAAGTATGTTTCCTCTGTTCTCCCTTTTTAGAGAAAGGCCCTAGTGCCTCAGGCCTGTTAGTGTCCTCTGAAAGGGAACAAGAGAGAGGCTGCCAGGCACAGCTTGAAATGAAACTGATACAGCACCAATAATGAGGGACTATATTTGGAAAGATCTTTTGGAGTTATTTTTGCCTGAGATCATTGCTTCTGGACAGCCTGCTGGCAACTGCTGAGCACACACACCCCCCCCACCCAGGATTAGGTTCTCTCTGCTAATGTGGAAGTAGCTCGCAGGGGGTCAGCAGAGGGAAAGGATGCACATGCTGGGTTTCCTGCTCTGATTTTCAAGCAAACTGATCAGTCTTTGTGCATAGAACACATGCAACACTTCTTCACTGAAGCCAGACAGTGCTCACCCAAAAGACTGAAATCAATTCTTAACCATTCTTTTTAAGAATTCCTGGTGTTACCATGTTTCCCACTTCCCATTCTCCCTGATACACTCCTCCCTGAAGCCACAGTTTCCTTGTTCCTCTAATCAGTGGGAGCCTTCTCAGGCTGCCAGCCAGGATAACGCAAGGAACCCTGGCAGCACCGCTCACCCTCTTCAGGGAGGACAGGCAGGCCTGTGGGGCACAAGAGCAGCTCCCTATCCCCTCAGAGATCTGATTGTTGGGTAGCAAGAACCTGCTGCCTTCCCATACAGAGCTTGTCAACATGAGGACTGTTACAAAAGGAACACACCTCTTCAAAACTATTCAAATCAGCCTGTTTACAGCAGAGCTGGCTAAGGAATGAGGCTTGCAAAAGCACTGTATGGGTGAGGTGCTGATTTATAGTCACATACCTTAAATGGGAGCCTATGTCTGAGAGCTCTGAGGGCTCCTCCTTACCTTGACCTGGGCAATCTCTGGGGAGGGTTTCTCTCCTGGCATCTGTTTGCAACTGAGTGAAGTGGGAAAGCAGGAGTCAGAATAAGAGACTGCAAAAACCGACTTTAGCAGATAAGGCATTTATATCAAATTGAGCTTAATTGCAGATTTATTTTAGCTCTCAGGAACTATATTCTTGATGATTTTTAGTTCTGGAAGAGTGGTAGTTACTGCTTAGAGAGGTAGTTACTGCCTGGAGTCAGACACTGTAGGCTGGAGGGCATCATGCCTCATGTAAAAGCAAGCCCTCTTTATTAGGCCAGAATCCCCTTCAGAGCAAGACTTGAAAGACTTTCTTTAGGAATTCTTTCAATGGTCTTTACCTGATGACAGGTTATTCTAAGGGGAAGGAGTAAGGAGGGATCTTAAGGGCTGAGCAAATCTGCTGATTTGAATAGCACTGTAGGAGTTGCTGGCTTCTATGCTGATTCGATGGAGGTTAAAGTTCTGTCTCAATTCCTCTTATTCTGTTGTGGTGGGTTGACCCTGGCTGGACACCATGTGTGCACCAAAGCCACCCTATCCCTACCCTCCACAGCCAAACAGGAGAGAGAAAATTTAACAAAAGGCTAGCGGGGCAAGATAAGGACAGGGAGATCATTCACTAATTACTGTCACAGGCAAAACACACTCGACTTAGGGAAATTTAATTTATTTAATTTATAATCAAATCAGAGTAGATTAATGAGAAATAAAAACTAAATCTTACCTTCCTCCCATCCTTCCCTTCTTCCTGGGTTTAACTTTATTCCAGAATTCTTTACCTCCTTCTCCCAGTGGCTCAGGTGGACGGGGAATGCGGGCTGTGGTCAGTTCATCACATGTTAGTTTGGCACCTCCTTCCTCTGCTCTAACACGTTCTCACATTTCTCTTCAGCTGCAATTGCTGTTGCACAGTTTCTTTTTCCCCTTCTTAGATGTGTCAACACAGAGGTGCCACCACCATTGTTGTTGGGCTCAGCCTTGGCCAGCAATGGGTCCATCTTGGACCCATTGGCTCTGCTGGGCACAGGGGAAGCTTCTTGCAGCTTCTCACAGAAGCCACCCCTGCAGCCCCCACACGCCCAAAACCCAATACATATGTATTCTTCTGTTTCTCTCCTTTAAGGAAGGACACTTGCATTCTTCCGCTTATTCATGTTTTTCAGTTTTAGCCCCTTTCTTAATATTTGCAAAAACAAATGGGGCATTGCACCACTTTTATGAAACACAGCAGCAGCTTTGCTGCTATTGGAGCTCAGAAGGGGTTAATATAATTTTCCTGAGGCTGGGAGGTGGCAGGTTGCAGAGAACACAAAGCCTGTTAGACCCAAAGCAAATTATTCATAATAGTGCTGAACTGAACAAGGGGAAATAGGAGTGAAAATGAGAACTCCCTGAATTTGAACTGTCACTTCCTATGAAAACTGTGACCAGACAACTTTTTCCTTTACACAGTGAAAAGCCTTACAGAGCTTTATAAGATTTAAAATTTTTATAAAGCTTTTAATCCATAACTTTGTGAAACTTGCTCTCAAAACATAGGGTTGGTTGCACTAATTATGGCAATTTTCTTTTCCTTAAGAAAAAGATGGACACAGCAACAGGAAGTTAGCAGAAGTCAAAACACAAGAGCTAATTAGTGGAACTAGCTGTGCCTAGTCCAGCATGCAGAACAGCATTGCTGTGGCTGTGTAGTTTGTCTTCATGTGGCTCAAAACACAGCTGTAATGGTCAGTTAAACCAGGTGGTGGAGTGTGGTTTCTGCTCAGCAGGGACACTTCCCATATTTCTATCTTCCTTCCCTCTAAATGGTTTTAGACCGCAGGGTGCATGTTAAATGTGATATTTCTAACACTATCTGCTAATGTATTTTAATGGTAATAGAAGGAGCCAAAGATTGCAGTTCTCTCTTCTATATATGTTTGCTTCCACGCTGGTCAGTGACAATCCTGCTTTATAGTTCAAGAGGAGACTTGGCTTCTGTCTCCATGTCCCCAGATAGCCCAGCAGGACCTCCATGATGTTTTCAGCTTCCTTATGTCAGACTGTATACAAAGAAAGAATAAACCATAAATCTGAAGTACGTGAATCCTCGCAATACCAAGAAAGTAAACACAGCCTTGCAAATGAGGGAGTCACTTTGTGGAAGAGCTGGCCACAGAAGGTCCAGGAACTCCACTGCCAGTGGCCAGGACTAGAATAAATGAACCACTGAACAATTGGCAGACTGACAGGTAGATCAATACAAATATATATATATACGTTGGTGCTGGTTCTTTTAATTTAGACTGAAATCTTCCAGGAGCCAATTGTGGAATAAAAGCATAGCAGTGGCCAGCCACAGACATACACTCAGTCTGAGAGTATTTTGTCACTTTTGTTCCATCTGGAGCTAGGAAGGAGGTATGAGGAAACAGGATGCTCCTCCCAGCAGGCCTCTAAGTTCTTGAAAGGAATTGTAAAAGATCAAATTAAAGAAAGAGGAAAGACTCACCTGCTTTTGCCTGCTGTTGACACCTTTAGGCTGCTTTGAAAATAATTTGGTAGTATTTCTACCTGGTACTGATTAATTCTTATATCAGGAATCACTCCATTTCAGAAGGGGAGTATTAAGGAGTCTCCATTCAGCCTGCAAGCAGATCCATTTAACTTACTGGGAGCAGTTACACTGTGTTTCTGTGCTATAAATCCTTGAAACCTGTTCTACTGGTGACAGATGGCCTAGTTCAGGATTAATGATACAAAATATCTGTGCCACTGCATCAAACAGCTGAAGAATCTGGCATCAGATCCCCAAACAGAATAAAATGTGCAGACTACCCTACTTTCTTCCTCCCGGAAATTTTTCTGGGGCAGGGCAGGGAGAGAGATTTGGCCATTTGTCTGAGACGTCTTGGCAGAAAAGAGCCTTCCCAGAGCAATCCTGTGCAGCAAGATGCTCTCTCCCTGGAATTGTGGACAAATGGCCATTGTATGTGGGACTGGCTGGAGCAGCAAGGGGCAGGATAGCTTCAGGGCTTTGCATCCCAGGGCACACAGGACTCATAACACAAGCCGGGTGCCATCATCATGGTGGTGCCTGGTTGGTTTGTGTTGGATGTGCTCTGTGGGGTGCATGTGGCTGTGTTTCAGGGTTCCCCAGACAGCAATACTGCAGCTGACTGTGACAGGGTTTCAGTGGGATGCTGAGTAGATCCAGCATAACATATGCTGATGGGTATAACAGTGGCACAAAACTGCCCACCACAGAGGTTCTTTTGGCCTCATACTCTGTGCTGAAACAGTTACAGGAACAGAAAATGAGCAAGGAGACATTGTATCTGCACAGTAAAAATACCCAGTAAATTAATGATTTTAATTGCTGTTACACACAGAAGAAATGAGAAAAAATACATTCCAAACAAAGAATTAAAACAGTAAAATCGGCATAAAAATGTGTTAAGAAAAGATCCCAGATTAAGTGGCTGTACTGTATGTGGTGACCTTTACAATCACAGTAAAGAAAGTAAGTACTAAAGACTTTCAGGCATGGCAAATGCTTGACTCCCCAAAGGAGAGCAGCTGCTTCAGTCACATCTTTCAGTGCACTCTGCCTGGAGTGCGTGGGAGAGGGGCTGGAGCAAGAGGCTTGAATGGGTCCAAGACATGGAGATTAGTGTTCAGGACAGACCAGCCACTCTGCATTCTCAGCCAGGCAGAACTCCCACTTACCCAATGGCATTTGCTTTTTCCTTCCTTGTTTTTCGTGGGTTTGGTTTTGTTTTTGGTTTTTTGTTCTTGTTATTGGTTTTGTTGTTTTTTGCTAGTTTTTGAGTTTTATTTAACAAAGGGTCAAGTTCTGCTGGCTTGACCATGCCAGCACCGTAGATGTGGAGCAAGCCTCCCCAGATGAATTAGGAGCAAGGCTTGGTCCAGCAGGAGCCAGCACCAGCAAGGTCTAGATAAGTATGTTGGTAGTGAATCAGAACCGTCGCCCAACAGGCTGGTTTTGGTTTCTTGTTTTTCTTCTGTCAGGAAATATTGTCTTTTATTTCCTGATGCTCCGTATTTTGACCAACCCACATTGCCCCAGTTGTGCTCCTGCTGCAGTCTTGGTGGCTCAACTCTTCCACCCATCTGGCCCTGTGCTTCAGCCTCACTGTTGAGACATCACACAATTCCAGTAGCTCATCCTACAGCAGCATAGTGTCACCACAGAAACAATACAAACCACAGAAGTTTTGGCATTCCTGCCAATTGGCCACCTTTTTTTCATTTGTAGTCTATCTAGAGTTATATATTTTTATTCTTTACAATAAGAGCAAAAATAAAATAACATTAAGAAAATTTTCTCCAAACTAAGAAAACTAAAACCCACCACATATTTTAAAGAAACCATAAAAATTTGCATTGTGTTTGCTTCTGAGTTCATATTAAGATAAGATTTAACTGCAGCTGCTTCAAAATTATGGTCCATTTCACATGTACACAGCTCATGTTCCTTGGTGTGTAATTCCTGGCCTTCATTTGTGTTTGTACAGCAGTTAGTGCTACTAGAACTAAGTAGTTTCTAGTTGTGGTCCAGATTTCAAATCAGTGAACAGTGGCATTTTTTATCCTTGCTGAGAACATGGTGATGGTTCAGAGCCATATTTCTAGATCAATTTTTTTTCCAGGCTGTAGGACTAGTGGTACAAGCACCTCCTTTGCTACAGAACCTGCTGTTTCTTTGATTCAGGTGAAAAGAAAGTAATTCAAGAAGGATGTGCCGAGCTTATTGATTCCATCAAGGCCTTCTCTCTCTGATGATTTTAAAGCCAGTAAAACCTACAATCATAGAAATTAAACACCCCTTTGCAGTTTGTCCCATGAAACCTAGCTGACCTTCTGCAGAGTGAAGGTTGAACAAGACGACTTCATTTTCTGTTCCAGTCTTTTCAACAGCCATAGCAGACTGTGAGCACACTGTGTTTTGGCTGGATTAGATTTATTCTAGTTAACAATCAGGAATAAGACCAGACTGTGAGATTTGGATACAGGGTTCACATCTAAGAATTTGGTTGAGGCTTTTAGAAGAACTAAAAAGCATTTGCAAAACTGAAATTAGAGTTCAGATTTTTAAGCTAAACCTTCCTCAGGGTTCAAGTGCAGCTGAGCCCATCCTGTTAACCAGTGTGAATAAATCTTTTGCGTTTGCATCTGATGCAAGTTGAAAAGGTAGTCACAATTCCATGCTTTAAGAGAAGTCCTGAAGATCCCTAAAAGCATTTTTAACACTAAAGTTGGATAATACTTGGGACTTATATAGCACTTTACATCTTCAAAGTGCTGTATGAGTATTAATCCTCACAGCATCCTTGTGAGGTAGGTAAGTGCTAATAACCCTATTTTAGAAATGGGGTGAGGGCCTGGTCCCCTGCTGCAATAACTTGGCATAGCACTGGCCCTCATATGCTTTTGCCTTTTTACACCAGATGAGGACTTGACCACAGAAAATGTGACTTACCCAAGGCCACAAAAGGAGCAAGCATGGATAAAAGGTAGGAGAATTACCCATGAGGACTTCTGTCAAGAGAAGACAGCAACTTCCCATCTTCTTCCAAGAACACAGTTATGATACCTCTGCCTAAAAGAGCACCTGTCTGTATCCAGAAACCAAAAAAAGGAAAGAGGCACCTGCCACTGAGCTTTACAGTTGCTGTTTGCTTTGATCTGCTTCTTCCAGAACAGCTCCCAGAATTACCATGATAGCAAGCTGAAAACGTACAGGTGTTGGTGTCAAACTATGGGACTGGAAAACCTTGAAAAGCCACTAAAAATTCTGCAGAGTTAGTCCTGGGAATTTTATATACTCATGTAAAAATATATAAATTACCTACACTGATTACAACAGGAAACTTTCAGCAATCTACATAAAAGACATGTTAGAGTAATTCTTAAACCAATCAGTCTTACAGTTGCCTCAATGTGGAGGAGTAATAACCCAGGTATTCAGTATGAATACCATTTCCTTGGTAGAGTAGGAGTAAAGCTATTAAAATCCTCTGGCTTTGTTCTTCTTGGCCTGCAATTTCTACGTGAGCATCACCCTGCTGACATCAGTGTGCCTGGCACAGCCCAGAAGCATCACTAGCATTTAAAAACCAGTTGCAATTACCACTGCATCTTTGACTTCTACACCAGGAGTTCCATGCAAGGATCTGTCTATAGAAAGAGGCTGAAATAAACCTGTCAGGTCTTTTATATGGCCAAATAAGGAGCAAAAGGATCTCCAAGAGGGTGGTAACTACAGAAAGGAAAGTGAGTGCAAGCAATCTGATCACGTGTGTAACCTGAAGTGACCATAGACAGGAATTGCAGAGGAGTATTTGGATACAGCAGTGTGAAAAGAAAGCCTCTGTATTTAGCAAGGAAAGGAGCTGCTACTGCTGGGGCCAGGCACACTACACTACTTGGGATGCTTCACTGCCTGGGCCAAAGACCGGGTGCTTCTCAAAGAATGTACCCCTTACAAGGACAAGAATGGATCAAACCTCACAGTTTTACATTTCGAAGAGACAACAGGAAGGTGCACAAAGGTAGTGCCACAGACAGTCACATCATTCCCATTTTGTTTGCTCCATTTCAAAGTGGAAACAGACCTCACTGGGGTAGAGGAAACAGTTTTAATACTAAGAAAAGGTATTTAACAGACTGCCAAGCAACTGCTTAGTGTTTCTCAGGGTTTAGGAATCTCAAAATTGTGTCAAATCACCATCCACAGCAGCTGGTCCCTTCCCAGCAGAAAAAAGCCTCCAGGAAAATGGTCTCATTCAAGTAATATGGATTAGAAGGAGGAATGCAGAGCAGGAGAGAGATTTTGAAGATTGAGAGCCTTTGCTGACAAACCTCCGAGCCAGCCAGGACTCTCCTTCTTTGTATGCTGAGGGCTCTGCCTCGTGTTCCTGGGAAGGCTGAAGCTGTTGCAGCACTGGGACAGAGCCAGTGTGACTGGCCAGAATGTGTCCCAGCCAGGTCACTCCAGGTGAGGGGACAGCAAGGGAACAACAGCCCACTTGGGCTGCACACGTTTCTGCCGTCCCACCTAGAGATCTCTGCCACCAGAAACTGCACCTCTGGCAGCCAGTGGAGATGAGAGGCCTCCTAATAACACTTAAAGACTCTTTTCTGCAAGTATCCAGTGGCTGATGGTTGAGTAGAACCGCAAAGCAAGATGAAAAAGCACAGAGAAAAGCAACTCAGCTGTCTTCAGGAAGTTGAGGACTACTCATTTCTAGAGAGGAAGAAAGAGAGAATCAAAACTGAGACTTTTAAACAGAGCTTATTTTATCACACACACATTTCCCTCCAAGCAAAGGGAAGCTCAGGATGCAGGGGGCTCCTCTGAAGAACTGCCAGCTAAGGACTGAGTGTGCCAGACCAATGTGCTGTTTGCTCATATGCTGGGAGGATGGTGGGGTTCACCCCAAATGCTTAGATTTCCTCTTAGCTGGGTCAGTCTGTTGCAGGAAGAGATTTGCAAACAGCCAAGTGGAGTAACAGCAGGTGACATCTGCAGAGAGCTACACTGCAGGGTTCAATCTGTGGCCAGGAGACAAGCAATGCTGATGAATGAACGTGGTTATGGCTCTAAATTCCCTTAGCTGTTTACTCCAGGCAGGCCCCAGTGCATCAGTGAATGAATACTGACAGTATTACACAACAGCATTAAAGGGAAGGGATTACACGGGGCTGTGCTACCTACCATGCTTTCCCTCTCAGTAATGCAGCTGACCTTTCTGATCTCTGTCTGAAAAGCAGCAGATGCCTCCATGGGGTCAGGATAGTTAACCTAGATTTTTGTAATAATGGCTGCATTTGCACTGATGCAGAAGTCAGAAGGAGGCAATGCCTATTCCCCACCCAGACACACCATGCAAGGCCGGCGAGGAGCAGGAGACCCACTCAGCACCTCTCAGCACCAAGGGGAAAGCCAGCAGGGCTGGTAGGGGTTCCTCAGCTGCCCCTGAACTCGCCAGACTCCTCGCAAAGACAGATCCCTCTTCTGCAGACTGGGCTAGGGACTCAGTGCCAGGGTTTTGTCTGGAATGGTCCGAGCATGCTAGGTATGGAGACAGTGATGATTTTTCACCCCACAAGGCTGGTCTGGAGTGCTGCCCCTCTTGCTCCCTCTGCCCATGTGGGCATGTGCAAAGGGCTGTTGAGGATTCAATGGATTCAAGTTGTGCAGTCTGTTCTGGTTGTCCCTGTTTGGCTGCAGTTTAAAGAGGGGCAGGAATGCTCAGCAAGCTTCCTCTGCACACCTGAGTGCACTTGTGTCTTAAAACAAGCCCCTGGGGAAGCACCTCAGCCCAAGGGAGTGGCCTGAGGATGGACAGAAGGAAGAAGCACATTCAAGATAGTAATATAGTTTCATATAGAAACAGAGCTTGCTGATACGTATCCTAAATAAGAGGAAAAAATATACATATGATCACAAATGAACTTGGACTAAAAATCAAGGCAACCTCGTCCTACATCTTTTTAAGAAAGTCTGAAGTCAGAAATAATCTTGCTTAAACAGATGGGCAGACAAACCATCCAAAGAATTTGGATCAGAATTAAATAGGCTTTCCCAGCCCCATCTGTGCATTCTCACTGTGTCCCTGTGAGTTCAAGAGGGAAGCACCAGGCATTTTGAACACACAGGACAGTGCATTTCAGGAAGCTCTCCTGAAAAGGGGCTTTCTAAAAAAAGAGAAGTGGTGCAAAGATGATCGTTTACCACCAGCTGGCAAAGCCCAATAACAATCTACATCCAAAATCAAGGCCTTGACCACAAGAAATGCTCAGATGAAGATTCAAATACTGCAGGCAGCAGTACTCTAAAGCTTAATGGGTATATGGAATATTACTTGTTAGGACACTGGGGAAGAAAGGCATAAAGGTTGGATTCCTGTCTTCTGTACTAAGGACAACTAGGGTATACACTAGTAAGACAGGAGATCAAAATTCTGCTGTAAAAATCGAAGTTCCTCGTGTGCCCATTACATTCCAGCCGTCACTGCTGGCTACAGGCACTGTATAACTGCACACACAAGGTGAGGGGGAACATGTTGGCCTGGCTACTGAGATGTCCCTGAAATCCCACCAGACTCCTAGTTCTGCCACATATGGCAATGCTGGCTTACACCTACAGATCTGCCCTGAGGCAGTGATCACCATGACCAAAGCACACAGCACTGCATGTCAGCACACCTCTTGCTCTGTGCTCTCAGCCTGGGGTTCTGCTGTCATGCTGGTTCTGCTGGGTGCTGCCCCACATGCTGCCCTTGACTCTAAAGCTCAGTTCCTATCTGGATATGCTGTTTTTACTCTCCCTCCAAGTTTTCTTTTCAGCAGAGGCAATAGCTCCAGTTTGCATACTGAGTTTGTAATGCACAGAGACAAACATCAGTTAAATTAATTTTTACCTATGACTTCAGCAGAGATCTGTGCCTGTCTGCCTTCAGTTGAGAGCAAGCCTTTTAACACAGTGCATGGCTAAACCTCCTTTCCATCAGCTCTCCACTTCCTAGACATTTAGCATCAGTTTCAAGACTAACAAATAAAATGCAGTAGTACAGCACTTCCAAGAAGGAAAAGTTGAATGAGTAACTACTGCAGGGACATTCTAAGCTTTCTGATGTGGACCCCACACTGAAGTAAGCTTTATTCAGAGAAAGCCATTGAAAAAAAATAATTCCCAAAGGTAATGCTTCAAAGAAGCAAAATCAACATCACCAGTGTGCCTAGAGAAATGGAGATCTCTCTCAGGGGTGAATGCAGCTACAGCACCTGAGATATAACCCACGTGTTCACAGACTATTGGCACTCCACCTAGCTCCTCTTTCTGAAGTCCTCTTCATCTCTGGTCTCTACAGCTGACAGTGCAATAAGCATTTGGGCTGCATAGTAAGTAGCCATGATGATGAAGCGCGAGTAGGGCACGGGGAAGCAGAACTTGTTAAGTGCAATGGTTAGATCGGACACCATGAACAGCATCGCGCCGATGCAGGCAGAGAGCTTGGTCCATGTCCAGAGGTCGTTGCACAGCTGCATGCCGGCCACTGCCCGCCAGCCCATGAAGGCAATCAAGGCGATGTAGACAGCGACCAGGTAGGTGAACGGGCCTGAGAGGTAGGAGTACAGGAAGGCATAACAGGAACCGGAAACCAGGCCCATCAACAAGCCGGCTTTGAGGTCCAAAGGCTTCATGCCAAAGGCTGAAGAGTACAGGATGTGTGTGATGGCAAACATCAGCAGACCTGGAAAGAGGCATTGACACAGATCATCAGTGACTGGCGGTCAAGAGCTGAAGGAAATGTGGTTATATTGGATTTAAAATATACCACAACAAGCACAGGCTTAGAGTTTCTTGCAATGTTATAACCCTTAATACTATCAGTGAAAACCATACTGACCACTTAAGCTATTTAAATAAAAAAATAGGTGCATGGGAGATCAGCCTTAACACCAAGCCCCTGGCCTAAGAAAAAGCCCCAGCACATCTACGGCTGCAGCCAAGTACAGCTCTGCTGTGACAAAAGCCTTTCTGCTGGGAGGCCAGGTGAACTAAGCTTCTGCAGAAGGAACTGAGCTTGTTTTTCAGATGTTCCTCTTCCCCTGCTTTGGGCAGAAGGGTGGGAGCAAGGCAGACCAAAGATCACCCCCTCCAGCTATCCAAAGTGTTTTGCTCATAGCTCACATGTGGAACAGAAAGGCTGGAATCAGAGCAGTGTAGGAACAAAACATGACAAAAGTTACCAATCCCTCTGAACCCAGATACAAAGCCTGACCGTATTTAGCCACAAACCCAAAGGCACTCAGGGACTAAATCTGGCTTCTACTCCATCTCTGCCCATAGCTGGGAGAAGCCTAAGCTGGAAAGAAGCAGCTGGCATATTTCAGAGACTGCACCGATGTGATCTGCCAACAATTTTATGGCTATTTTCAAGATTCAGATGAACCTTAGAGGGAATCAATCAGTGAAAATAAAATGCCGGCTTCCCTTTGAAGTGCAACAGTCCTGAGAAACGCCAGATGTGGGTGTTGGAAGGTACTGCCTACATGTTGTTATTCACTTGCCACTAATCCATTTGACAACAATATGTCCCAATGTGTTGGCACAGCTGCTGACTCCTAGCTGTCATGACAATTGTAGATAATGGGCTCCAAACTGAGTCCAGCTCCTTGGATCCTCTGGTTCCCAGGCCCACACATGATGCAGCTGCAGGCTGTCCCACTTTATCCTGGCAGGGTTATTAGTGGAGCTGGAAGTTTTTATGCAGCTCTAAAGCATGAAATAGAGAAAAGGATCTGGGAAGCTGAGTCCTCCAGCAGGACTCTTGTTCACATTTAATGTGTGATGCCATGGTGTAAGGGGCAGTCACTAAAACCTGCTGCTGGCAGACATTGCTTCATTCTAATACTCTTGTGTTGAGGCAGTGCAAAGGAGGGGAAGTGTCTCCTTGCCTTTGGAGAGGACCAGATTGGACATTCACTGAAAGCTCAGCCATGGTGGGATGAGAAGGGAACCCACAAGAGGGAGGGGTTGGTGGGGATCTGATCTGCAGGATGAGGCTAGAGAATGTGGACAGTGTGAAGGGGAAGGAAGAGAAGCACAAAGGAGGGCAACCAGAAGCTGATGTTTCACAGAGCTATTGCACATCATGGGCACAGCACTGAGGAAACTGAGAAGGGATTTAGGACATGAGCTGTTTATAGTGTTATAATGCAGGAAAGGTTAGAGCCTGGGGAGATGGTAAGGAGAAGGATACATCCTCCTAGGAGTGATGAGTGTTTTTTCCTTCAGTGGCATTATATGGAGTATTCTGGGACAGGGAACTGAAGAATGTGTTGTCGTTCATGCAGGCATCTGGCAGCAAGGAGGAGAAGGAGGAGAGGACAGGATACAGCAGCAAAACAGAGGCCTGGAAAGGCAGTAGGAGTTTTGTGATATGTGGTAAGGCTGGTCACAAACAAGGCAGTCAGGTCCTGAGTTTACTCATTCAACACCCACAAATCAAGCCAGGAACTGAGGAAACCTGTGATGGCTGCACAGGGAGGGGGTGCATTTCTCTCGTATTTCTCAGCCTTTAGCTTGGTCCTCCCACATCAGGCAGATCAGCCCTTCTCTCTGTCTTCTTCCTTGCCTCAGGTTTCCTCAGGCTGGCAAAAAGGCTTTTTTGCTAGTCCCTGTCTTCTTCACCAAATGCATAAATTGTTTCTAAGTACCTGCCATCTAAGGAGGTGGATATTAACACTGTAAAGTATCTTCTACATGCACAAAGACACTAGTCAGAAAATAGCGCGTTATTAGTGGACTGAAGCAGCAAAAATGAAAAAAGTCAAGTGTGCCAGGAGTAGGTTCCCAGGCCCTCACTTCCCTATAAAGTAATGAACAAATGTCCTTTTATAAACTTCTTGTCTCAAAAGCTATTCAAATCAGCCCAGTTTCCAACCCTTTTCAGTTCAAAAGCTAGAGAAATTGAACAGAAAGTACATTTTTATCCAGTATTTCCTCTTATTCTCCTGAAACTTCAAATTCCCACAACTGATGATGTCAAAAGGTTAAATATTGTCAGTTGTTGGCAAGAACAACCTGGTGAGTCTCAAACAGGAGAAAATAAATTTTGCAAGCAAGGTGAAGGATGAAATGGATCAGTGTAAGCTTTATCTCCTTACAGCTGAAATGCAAATATTAACACTTCATTTCAGAAGATAGTAGCTCAGTGGGCTGAGATTTTCAAAATGCTCCAGTAGAGCTTTGTCTCCTCCTTAAGAAGAAAAACGTGTCTAAAGCCACAAAGCAAAATTTATCAGTTGTGAGACTAATAATCCAACTTATTTGCAGATTAAAACAATCAACCAGATACTGAATTGCTGTGACTGGTTAACCCTTCCTCTAGCACTGTATTGGAGAGGGAACTTGGAGATATACTGTCTATGCAGAATGGAGAAGCATGGAACAGTCCATATACAAAAATGGTCATGGGGAGAATTGGGCCTCAAATGTTTTCCAAGCCACAGCTCGAGAAGCAGCTCCAGGAGGCAAAACAGACACACAACCAGTCGGGCTGAGGCAACCTGCTCTGAGCCTGAGGCAACCTGCTCCTAACTCCTGTTAGGAGGAGGCACATCAGTGGGAATGTCAACACTCAGCACAGAGGGGATGGCACCCCAAGAGAAAGCTAAAGCTCCTCAGCAATGTGCCCAAGGTTCAGCCAGAGAGATCCAATCCTCAGGGCCTAATCTAAACCCTACCAAAATCAGTAAAAATTTTTACATGAACTTTTAATGAGATTGAGATAAGCCCTTGGGAAGCAGGATTAAAACCAGATTCAGAGCATTTGGCCTTTCAGATCTGGCACTGCACACTCCTTCTTCCCATAAAGAAAGAGCTTCTGGGAATCCCAGAATAAAACTAAATACTAACCTCATGAGAGAGGCAAAAAATAAGCCTTTGACTTTCAGAGCTGACAACAGCACAAGTCAGAAAAGTTGCCTCATCTCATCACATTTTCCAGTGGGACAGTCACAGCAGCCAGTTAATGGTCGACGTTATGTGAGATCCCCGTGCTGGTTAAATAAACTTCAGAAAGCCCACCAGTCAGTTTAGCAAAGGACTCAACTGCTGCTTATTTCTTTTGACAGTCCAAGGCCATGGAGAGTGTTGCTGCAGGCAGGTTCAATGTGGCTTTAAATGATTAATCTAAATCATTATGTTCCAGTCTGCGAACTAGCAAAATAAACCAAGCTCATTTTGCTCTGAGAGATGTGGATCTTTCTGTAGAGAAGACAGACCACTGTGGTAAGGTTTGTCCTTGATTGACCATCATTTACATGTCTTGCAAAACAGATATATCTTGTACAACAGGCTGCATGATTCACACTGATGAACCTGCAAGTAGGACAAGATTTCTGATGCTTTCATTTCTAGCATCCACTTGAAAACCTCCCCCAGGCTATGGGCTTGTCTATCAAAACATAAAGCTCCCCTCCACTTGCTCTTCACTGAGGACTTTTGCACAATATGTCCTATCCCTGATCCTTGTAACAAAGGGCTAACAGATCTCCCTGCAGAGAGATAGGAGGTAGATACTTCCCATAGCTTCATGGGAGCTCAGGAGTACCATAAACATTTCTTTTTCTTCCCCAGGGATTCTGGCATGCCACCTTCTCACCTCCAGCCAGCCGAGATGCTGTGACACATGCCAGGACACCAAACCTGACCCAGTTACCTCTCTAATCTCAAGAGAAAGACTCATCTGTGGTGTGACTCTTCTAACCATGATGGATTTTAGTCAAGGAATGAGGGCTTCCCAGTGCACGGGGCTTCAGCTGTACATGAATAAACAAAACATGTGCCCCAGCAACCCATTACTAAATAAAGAGGATAACAGCTGGACTGTGGCGTCCCTTTAGGACTGACAACATACTCACCATGAATGAAGTAGCCCTGCTCCTGCCAGATGAGAAAGGCATCTCCCACTGCTGAGAATATGAGTCCCGCTAGGATGCGGCTGGCACTCCGGTGTGACACTAAGAAGTTAATTCCATGGGCCAGAAGGAAAACCCACAGGCAAAAGATGGGTAGACATTTAATGAGAGCACTGAACCAGGAGGGGCTGGAAGTTGGCAGCCAGAGGACAAAATAGACACAAGTGGCTTTAAAGAAGGGCACCAGTTTGGGACCTTCACTCTTCACCTAAAGAAAACAAACATTAAAAAAGATAAATTAATAGGATCATCAGAAGCATCAGTGGAATAAACTTCATAACAGAATTGTCTCCTTCCTTTTGAAAGCTAATCTTTCATGTATACTGTCAGCTAGCAGCGTTTCTACCCTGAGAACTGCTGATTGAACTTGACCACAATTCTCAGCCTAGACCTTTGTGATCGTCTCTGCTGAACACTTCTCAGCTGTCATGATGGGGTTTGGGTGGTGGACTTAGAGGAAATTTTAGATACCTTTTCTCTTTATTTGGTTCTACTGAAAACATTCAGGCCATCAGTCAAACTCCTCTGGTGCTCCTTGACACCTACCTTGTGTTTAGACTAATCCGTTTTATACACCTTTCCGGAGCTGTGAAAATACTCCACCCCCAGATATATCCCAGCAGCAAACAAACCAGAAAACGTGCAAATCCTCCCTTCCATTTTCACAAATCCTCATGCTTAGCCAGTAGCAGATCACCCTAAGGATACAACCTCTCTTCTAAGGCATTCTTTCTCCTGCCCTGTAGCCTCATGCCTGGAGCTTGCTGTTGGCACCACCACATGACTTCAAAACCAGTCACATCAACCTCACAGGTGAGGATGTCATTTCCTCAGCTGACTAATACCAACATTAACCACGTGTTGCTTTGTTCTAGCACTACAGTAATAATACAGAACCCATACTGCAGGAAATGTTTTGACTCAGGGCTCTATTGTGTAAATACACAAAAATGTAGCATGAGCACTTAGCTACCCATAATAAAGCCACAGTAGGGGCAGGGCACAGAGCTACAGGCTCCACAAGCTGGGTCTGCTCTTGATATACATTTAGCTGAGAACACTCTGTACAATGATAACATATGTATTGTGATCACCTGCCCTCCTGTTACAATTCTGCATTTCAGTGCAGGTGGGGAAAACTTCACACGAGAAACAAAGCTATGATTTTATTTTCTCCTGAAGAGCAGCTGAGGGCCAAAATAAGGATCAAAGGAAAGGGACTGCCTCCTGTGCCTGACTGAGCTATGTCCTGGGGTCTAACAGGAGGCCTGTTTCCTCCTGCACCTAAGGCAGTGCAACATCCAGAGCTCCTCTGCAAGCAGAGGTTTACTCTCAACCTTCCCATTTCTTTGGTCAAGCAAGACTTAGTTGCTTAGTATCACAACAACTTCCCTCTACTCATGGCCAAAGCACACAGAGGCCTCATGCACTGGAGGAGGACATGGGAAAATTTAGAGGCATCAAAGTTGATTTCACTCTGCAGAGTCCAACTGCTCTTTTTTTTTCCAAATCACTTGGCCTTATTTCTGCTTCCTTGCATCATGGGACATTGCCATGACACAAAAACAGCATCCATCTTCCTTTGATGCAGTGTGCCTTGATGCAGACACCTAGAACAGATGAAGACTGCACAGGAAATATTCTGTGCTTACAGTGCTCAGGTAATAAAGCCTAATCTCATAAAAATTCTGGAGCTTTTACAGACACAAGCAAATCGAATCAGGTGAAGCTGGAAGACAGAGGCAGAGGCAGTGGAGGGCATCTTCACATGCAGTATCTAAAAAGGGAATGCAATCTCGGAAGCAGTGAGGCTATAAATAAAGGGCATCCCAAGAAGACAGTGCCTTCAAAATTGTTCTCACATCTGATGGAAATTTCCCCAGCATATCAGCAGTTTCTTGGCAGTAAGGTATTTCATTATACATTATTCATAGGCTATTGCCAACACAATTTTTAAACACTCCATTAAACAACCAGGCTACACAATTCACTAAGAAAAAGACATCAGCAAGCCGTTAACTTTCTTGTATTACATGGGGAGCCTTGTGAGTCCTCTACTTAGGTTGTCTAAATTAATCACCATTTATCACTCCTTGTCTGTATTCCTTGGGAAAATTCTGGCAGCAAATAACAAATGAACTTAAAATAAAAGTTAGAAAAGCTCATGTAGTCTCATAGTACTGGGGTTGCCTGGGAACTATCAAGTATCATAAGGGAAAGAGTGCAGCCAAGCTTCCCCCTCCTTCAGACCCAGCACCTTGCTTTCCTAAAGTGACACATCAGGCTCTGACTGTCCAAAGCCGGTGCGCAGCTCCAGCTCTGCTTCCTCCCCTTCTGACTCTCTTTTATTAAAACGTAGTTGATCACATTCATCCTCTCACAGTTGGAGGCAACAGATGACAGTGTTTCTGGCAGGGTTTTCTCCTCTCCCCCGCAAGTTGTGGAGGATCCCCACCATGCTGTAATGAGCCTGAGATCTTCATCGTGGAAAACTAACAACCTCCAGAGCTACACAGTGCGAAAGAACTGGCAGCAGCAACAGTGCTCCAGGCTCCTGTAACAGTCTCAGCTAAGGTAAGTAGTTTTGTACCTCTGAAGACAAAAGTTTGTGCTGAAAGATTTAGTTGAAGTTCAGGCTGTTTGCAACACATCACAGTGGCACTGTTAGAAGCATACAGGAGAGTATTTGGGTTAATAAACATGGGAAGTTTTATTTAATACCTCATATTAACAGAAAAACACCTGCTAGGAGCAGTTACCATTACAATCACAGCTTGCCCTCCCCTGTGTGCATGCATGATGAGACAGGTTTTAATTACACTTGTAATTTCCCCAGGAACCCTGCCTTACTGAATGTAAGATATGCCCTTGTGCGGAATGATTATGTTTGATTAACTTAAAATTACCATTTCTTACTATCTGAATGTGAATTTTGCAAGCTCAGCCAGCATTATTTTAAAATAATGATTTCTATTATTTCCATGCTAATAGTAATTAAGGAATTTTTCATATATTAGGGGTCAGATTCCAGTCTCAGTTAAGCACCAGTTAAACGATTTACAGTGTTACAGAGTCCCCAAGTAAGAATGATCTCATATCTAAAAGGGCTACAGGCTTCTCATCACTGAATTGACACTATTTCTTTACATCTTTTCTACAAGTATACTTCAGATGAGTTATTTCCAACTATACTCTTGCCCATCACTGAATGCTGCAGCTCAGAGGAGCCCCTGTTACAGCTCTGACCAAAATGAGAGACAGCACTTGCTGAGACAGAGGTACCTGTGCAGCTGAGGGGCGGGCAGCACATCCTGCTGGGATATACTTGGGAGAAGTCCTTCAAGAATAACTGAGGCAGCCAGAGGGTGAGGCTGGGGATTACCCTCCATTTGGACATGTGGCTGAGCCTTGGAAAGGACAAGTCAAGGCTGGTATTGGGAAACCATGTACCAACATGACTGGAGGCTGTGGCTTGAGGAAAGCAGGGCATATAATCCATGACTGGACTTGCCTGTACCTCAGGGAAGGGAACATTATTTCTTGGTTGCATGGATAAATTGCATCAGAGATGGAATGTGAGATGGGGACATGCTGTGGTATTGGAAAAGAAAGCACATGACAGAGGTGACAAAATCCTTTATGGTAATGCATGTGATTGTCATGGCTTTCAGCTGGGTTTTGCCATTTTGTTATAAATTTATTGCATTTTCCCCCAATTCTTTTCTCCTTCCACCGCTTATTTACTCCATACAGAAATGCAGTACAGAAAACATTTTGAATACAATAACAAGGCAGTATTTCCAAGTTTTGAATTTCTAAACTGACCATAATTTAGGGCATTTTCTCAACTGCTACGACAATTAAGTTACCTAGATTCTTGAGAAATTAGTTTAAACTACTGTAAAGCCAAAAAATTTACAGCTGGCTCCTCTACTCCAGAATAAGTCCCATCCACAGAGGAACAGCTACATTCATAAGACAGTGCCCTGATTTTCTTTAACATTTTGGAGCCAATTGTCTGTATCTGTATCACAAGTGGAATGAAGAAAATCCAGCTGCCACAGGGAGGGAGACATCTTCTTCCTGAGGTACAGAAGAACATCAGAAGTTTGTTGCACTGAAATGCTAAAGTCGGACGAAAAGTCCTTGCTAAAGTCCTAAGCCGTGCATTGGTCCCAGGAAACAACATGGAGTATCAATGCTCTTCTCTCCACAAAGTCTCCTAAATCAACCTGCACAGAAAATACGTATACAGACACCTGCTGTGCACCAACCTGCTGTGGGGATATGGCTCATACCCACTGGGCTATAAAATGCTGCTTCCCAGGAAAAGTACTTTAAAAATAAGACACCAGCTATTCTACAGAGCAACACTTAAGTACAACTGTGTGCACTGGCCTAAAAAAAGCTGAGTCGTTGTCCTTCACCCATCCGTCCCAGCAGCCTTGGCTGGCCAAGTACCATTTTGTGTATCGACGTCTGAGCTGCTTCTCCTGGCTTTTGGCATGGATCCTGCCTTGGTTCTGCCCTATTGTGACAATAGCTCTCACCCCCAGTCATGTGCTAATAAATATTTATTTGGTTTTGTTGCCATGTTTGCTGCCACTTCAAGCCCGTGGCTCATGCTTCTTATTCCCCAGAATATGTGGCACTCTGCAAAGCACTGACCATCCTCTGTGCAGTCTGAGTCACAGAGGGGGAGAGTTGCTTCAACCTGGGGATGGACCACAATTAGGATAAAGTACATGTATGTGCTACAGGTTCTCATCTACAGAGCAATGGTTGAACCAACACAATTCACCATCTGACTGAGCCTACAGAAAACCCACCTTCGTGCACAGATTCTAGCCAGGGGGAGCTGTTTTCCTCAGGAATTCAACAACCTACCACTTTTTGCTAAACCAAGGAGGAATGCAGCAGTGCTGGGCAATTCCTGGCCATTAACCCACGTGAGTGGACTGCAAAGCTCCCATCCTCATCCTCCTGGGCTTGCTTCCACATTCCCACCTTTGCTCAGATGGTGCAACATCAAGCCTTCTGAATGCGTACACTCTGATAAAAAAGAGGGAATTTTTAGTCAGGGAGCCAGATTGCGTAATAGTGAGGATTCAGCTGTTTGGTACCCAAATTCACCATTTACACCTTCCACACAAACCAAAGGCCCCAGTGGCCACTCTGGCTGCTCATGTCTGCACCCCTCCTGGGCAGCTTGCAGAGATGAGCGAGCAGGAGACAGATGAGAGGTAAAGTGATCGGCCAGTCAGCGCTTTTTATTCCAGAGGGTTGCTGAAATATTAGGGCTGGGTGGGACAGCCCTAACTGGTACTCACCTAACTGATGACTGTAAGTGAGCACAAAGCACTTCCAACCTTGCTCTCCTGCAGGAGCAAACATGCTCCCGGGGGATAACTGATTGCCTATCACCTTTTGTCACAGAAGGCATTGGCTCATACATGCCCCAAGTTGTTCCTGAATAAAATTCTAAGAAAAAATGCTTGTTATGGAGGGTAGTGGAGAGTTACTGAACCAGCCAGTCAACCTGCCTGAAATACTCTGTTGGTGCAATACACTTTTGCAATTAATAAGAGTGTTTATGTTTGTGTTGGAGATGCCATGGCCAGGCATCTGAGGCAGATGGCTCCTGAACAGGCTCCACATGCTGCAGGAAATTGAGGGTGATAGATAAACCCTCTTCTCCTCAAATGGAGCCAAGATCGTAGAGGCTCCATCGAAAATGGATTTGTAAAATAGCCAATAAGTCACTCAGAACATGGTACATGATTTGCCTTTAGGAGAATGTGTGTGCTGATGATCCTCTGTCTTCATCATGTTTATGTCATGCAATGAGTTTCGCCACGTCTTGTAGTGCCTCATTGCAGCTTCTGGCACTCCCCAGCACAACTCAGGGCCTCCATTTCTCTCACAAGGGTAATGCAGTGAAACTGAGCTTGTGCTCAGCTGTTCAGTCAGACCTCTTTACAAGGAATCAAAAAATCATGATTTTGTCTGACAGGAGCCTCTGTTGTTCAGCACAAGCCAAAAGTAATGGGGCTCTGCCTGAATGCTTCCTGCCTGCAAAAGGACCATCCTCCCAGCTCAGACACATGTGTGTCCAAGGCAGCTCTTCCACCCACGGGGTCTCTTCAGCTGCAAAATAGGGCTGGTGTGTTGGCTTCTGTCATCTCTCTCTCTACCCCAACAGCCTGGGTATTCTCTTTCTCCCCTCAGTTAAGCAAAGTAAGGTCCAGCTGTACTTCCATGCTTTGGTCCACAACAGATTAACACAGGGTTGAGAGCTAGAAATATTCAGCTTCTTTTTCTTAAGACCAAGATACGGCTTTTTGCCAGAAAAGTACGATTAAAAGGTTGGCACGGGCCCTCACAGTTCTTGGGTGGTGAACTCAGCTATATTGCTGCACAAATTCTTGGCATCAGAACAGTCACCCTTTAGTGGAAGCACACGGGAGCTGGCCGTGGATGAGGATCAATCAAACTGGCATCTCACAAGGGCTCCTGTGCATGGCTGGGCTGCTCCAATACACAGCTGCATGCAGAAACAAGAACCACAACAAAAATTTTAACTTCCAAGCCAAAATGCTGCCCAACTCACAGTCACATCAACATTCAACCTAATCTCTGGATTAACCATAGGGGGGATGAAAACCTGTCAGCACCGAGGTTAAAATCTTCCAGACGAGCGACTTCTCCCCAGATGCAGAAAGCAGGGAGGAAATTTGTAGCAGGAGTTTCCCCACAGATGCCTGGCAGCAGGGCAATGTTTGCCTGCACCAGCCTCTCCCAGGTGAAAGGGCAGCTCGAGTCCCTGCAGCGCGGCAGCCTGGGCACAGCGGGGGCACGGCACGGCCACCCAGCTGAGCGGCAGCAGGCGAGCGCCAAGAATGGGATGTTTTGTACCAAGACAGCTGGGGAGCACATGAGCAAGGCTCATCATGCCGTGGGAGTGCCAGTGACACGAGACTGCAGACCTTGCTTTTGAAATGGTCTCTCTCTTCATGTTTGCTTTCCAAGTGTAATTTCTCCACAACAAACTGCTATCTGTCCCTGTAGACACTCCTCAAGCAAAGTCTGTGCTACCCAAAACTTTACCACAGCCATGCTGTGATCTACCACAAAACTCTGTCATCTTTTCTCTGGGAGGAAATTTCTGAAGGGGATTGTCTAGGATAGGTTTTAGGGGAAAACAGAACTGAACACAAGAAGTATGAAGGATAATTAAATACAAGACTTGGGAACATAAAAGACAGAAACCTTAGACAGGTTTTGTGGCCTTCTCCAGAGGACAGTAAAATAACTGCAACTATGAATCCTTGTACAGGGGTCAGGGAGGGAGATGAACACTGACAGGCCAAGGGGGCAGGCAGCCTTCATTTTTGCCCCTTCCCAGGTTAAGGCAGGAGAAGCCAAACTGGCATTCACATAGAAACAACAATGCATGTGTTAGCAAAGCTTCAATACAAAAATAACAGCAGTCCTCTCTGGTCTTCAGGTGCTTAATGAAGAAATTAAAACCTGCTGGGTGCTGAGCAGTCACACTGACTGTGCTCACGGGGCTGCTGACAAGGCCAGTTTGGCTCAGCAGCCAATGTTACCTGGGTGCTCTCGGACATTGCAGCTCTCTGCTGCTACACCTGCAAGTTAAAAAACATGCATCTGTAGCCACCTGGGATGTGTCAGAAAAAAGTCACAAAAGGGAAACTGGAGTCTCACCTTCAAAAGACCCCTTACAGGAGGCTTTAGAAATGTGAGGGAACAGTCCCTTAACAACTTAAATTAGATACAGGCAGTTCTGGAGCCAAGGAAATCACTCCACGCATCAGGGCACTCTCTGTGCCACGTATTGCAACAGGAGCTCACTCCTGCTTCTTGCCTTTTATACCATGACATTGCCCAAAGCTATCTTGACACACTGGACAGTTGTGTTCCCTCCAGCAGATAAGGAAGTTACAGTATCCATAAAGGGTATATCCTGTACCAGATAAAAGAAGAAATCTAGTTAGCTTGGCTAACAAGCTATGCAACAGTGTCTCTGAGACCTTCCTGCATTACACAGGACCTACTGCTATTGGGCCAGGCAAAGTGAGATACCACTACACCCACCAATATCTTATAAAGTCACTGTGGTATCTGCCCTTCACTTTCTAGGATCACAGGGGAGCTTTCAAGGTGGTAAAGCCTTTCTTTAGCAGACGTTAACTCATAAAAATCAAATTACAGACAAATACATTTCACCCTGAACTGAATACTCAGTTTGGATGTATGTGTTTTTGCTAGGGCTTGTTTTTTGGGGGGGTGGTTTTGCTTTTTTCCATTACCAATCATCTATCCTGTCTACCAGATTGGCACAGGGCCACAAGCAGGGCTATTTTAAAAACCTTTTCCTAACCTGCGGTTGTAATGATTGACTCCACATCTGCAGCAATCCTATAGCTGTCAGCAGTTTAGTAGATTGCCTTCTGAGCACGGTCAAGGACTAACAATATTAAACTAGTCAAGAACTCAAATGTCTCTGCAGGGTTGTAGGGGCTGTCACACACTAATGCTTTCAGGGTAGTTCATTGGCTCTCACAAATGAAAGCAAAAATATAGTATTTGCCTGCCAGTATCTTAGAGCAAAGATTGTTTTTACCTCCTGGGATTCCGGATCTTCCTTTTTGTGTAGCAGAAAGCAAACCTCCCTGAATGCTTCCTTTGCTGTAACACTCACAAAAGAACCCCTTGCAGATGTTTAAAAACATGAACCACAATGGATCTGTCTTTTAATTTTGCTCATCAGAGCTGCAGTGCTGCCACAGCAAGGGCTCGTACTCTTCCTCAGTGAGGTCAGGTGGGGCTGTATCCTTACTGCTACCCTGGACATCAGGAGGATGCTGTGAAGCCACAGTGAGCTTCACAAGCCAGCCAGCCAGCACCCTGAAATGCACAGTTGATACCTGTCCCAGGCAATTCCTCTAAGGATGGGAAGGGGCAGCTATTTGGTTTGTCACACTAAAATCCAGATAAAAAATTTCTACTGCTTATGGAAAAGTCACCTCAACTTATTTCTGGAGATGGCTTCCAGACTACAATCATTTGTTCTCAGGAGACTTTTCATTGTTTATATAACACTTTTCTGTGAAAGAGAGTGCAGACTTCCATTATCCAGGAAGAAGCAGTGTTAGGTAAGCCAAACACATGAGCTATGGGGCACAGGACCACATCAAAAAGTGACACC